AATTATAACTTCTCTTAACATATTTTGGATGTATTATTTTGTTGTTTGTGTATACTAATATTTCAAGAAAATCATACTCCATATTGTCAAAGACTTCAAATCAGATAAAATTAGGATTCATTGTAAATAAAGTATGTATTTTTTTTTTCATTTTATTGAGTCTGAGAGAGTGTGATTATAATTGAGTAACTATGCACACACACATTAGGGGAGTGTTTAAATTTTGTAAATTTTAAACTGATCATATTGTACGAAGTCATTTTATATGGGATGATTTGCTCAGTTATTTTCCCCTATGAGTTGTCAAACGAATTGCAGGTAGAAAATTTTTTTAAGTACCGATCATACTGTACGGAGGTTCCTTCGTACAGATGACATCTAAAGTATGAATTGGACAGGTCCATTTTCGTTCCAATGAATTCAAAGTTTCTTCTGAAGTGATCATACTATATGATCTCCTGTTCATACAGATGAAGTCCATAGTATAAATTGGACGTGTCCCTTTCGTCCTGATGAACTTAAAATTTTTTTGAATAGATCATACTATACGATGCCTTATTCGTACATACAACGTCCATAATATGCATTTGATGAGTCCCTTTTCGACCTGACGAATGCCAAATTTTGCTGAACGGATCATACTGTACGATTGCCTATTCGTATGGATGACATCTAGAGTATGAAAATGTGGGGTACCTTTTCGTCCCGATGAAGTTGAAAAATTTTATAACTGTTCGTACAATACGAACTTGGTTCGTACTAGACGATCATCGTGTATGAAAATATTTCATACAAATTCACAAAAGTTTCGTACGCAATAGTTTTTGAACTGTTTGTATGTACGAACAAACGATCATATTGTACGATCCGTACACACTCAAAATGGAAAAATTCAATTTTCTAAACAATTTTTCGTGTCTTTCATATAAAAGGTCCTTAAAAATTGACATGAAATGGTATTGTTCTTCACGATTTTTCAAGGGCAAGTGAAAGAGTGATTGTGGGTGAGTGTTTGAGAGAGATTTCTTATAAGTGGAGAGTGAAGGGTTCACAAGGTTACTCAAAGGTAAGGATCTCTATGTGTTTTTGGTTACAACTCTCCTTTTATTCTTTCTAGTTGCTCATGAAAAGATCTTTGAAGAAGATCTGATACTCTGCCGATACTTGGTGGGTGTGAAAGGAAGACGGTATTCTGTCGACACTTAAAGGGTGTGAAAGGATGACGGTTCTCTATCGACACTTGGAGAGTGTGAACAGATGATGGTTCTCTGTTGACACTTAAAGGGTGTGAAAGGATGACGGTTCTCTGCCACACCAGAGATTGGTGGAAGAGAGGAATTGTAAAGGCTTCTCCGCCTTACTGTGGGAGCAAAAGGAGTGTCACTTTGGTAATAGTGCAATACCTGAAAAGGGAGTCTTGAGAGAGTGAATGTAGGTCGTGTTTGACCGAACCATTATAAATCTTTTTGTCTTTTTATTTTTTGCATTTATTTTTTACAATTTGTTTGTTGTGGTTGAAAAGCTTATTTTAATCTAAAATCAAATTGATCTAAAATTTAAAATGGTTTTCTATTAAAAAGTCTAAGAGAAATTTTAAATTACCAATTCACCCTCCCCCCTCATGGTTAGCCTTGGGACAATTGCTTAGGTTTAACAACCTATACTGAATCAACACTTCTCCACGTTGTTGTGGAGGCAAAAGTAGAATAATTATAATATTAGTGCAATACCCGGATAGGAGTATTCTAGGGAGTGGATGTATGTATAAGTTGATCAAACCACTATAAAATTTATTGTGTGCTCTTTCTTATTTGTTTTTTATTTTTTAGCATTTTTGTTGCTACACTAGAAATTTCCTACACAAATTCCATCTTTTATTTTAAGATGCAGTTAAGTTAATTTGTGATTAGCAAAAAGAGAAATATCATATTTTAGTTGAATTACTCGTACCTCAAAATGAAAAATATTTCAATTTTTGAATTGCTTCCATGTGTTAAGTTACTCATTTAAATTATTTTTCAAAACTCACTATGTAGCTTAAAACGAAAATAAAGTTTTTGTTGTAGTATTTTTTTTTTTAAATACCAATTTATCCCCCCTCTTGGTGCACCTAGGAATAATTCACGTAGGCCTTACAACCTCCCCGAACTTTCACAATCAACTATGCTAAATTCTACTAAAAATATAAGCATATTTTTCACTATCTCTTTGAAACTCAGGCCTGAGATATCTAAAATATGTACTCTTTTTAAGGGCTCGATAGCCCAAAGCCACAATCCCCCACTAGATTTATTACTACTAAAATTATACTCTATGTATTTAATTTTAGATTTACTCAAACAAAAATATTTAGACTTTAAGATTGACCTCCATAACTCAAGTTTTCCTTCAACTCTCTCTAGTCTTATCCATAGCATCAGTAGAAAGTATACACCATAGAATATACTATTGTAAATGTTTAGGAAGAACATCCAAGCTAAAGAAAAAATGTATAGGCTTAAAACTAATCCTTGATGGAATCCACCTGAAATAGGAAAATACTTGGTCAAACCACTTTGTGTTAAAACACAAGTAACAAAACCTACATACATATTCTTGGTAACTTGAATAGGTATTACTAACTCCTTTTTTAGAACTCTGAAGAGCACTTCTGTTTGAACTTTATCATATAATTTCTCTAAATCAATAAATATCACAGGTAGATCCTCCTTATTCTCTCTATACTTTTTTATCAAAACCTCTTAATAAATGTATAGCTTCTATAGTAGACCTACCTCTCATGAATCTTTTTTTTTTTTTTTAGAAACATTAGTATCATGCCATATCCTATGCTTATAACACTCTTCCATAGTTTAGAAGTATGACACTTTAACTTAACTCCTCTATAATTTGCACACTCTTATATACATCACCTTTATTCTTAAAAATGTGAATCAACATACTACTTCACTCATGTGGCATCTTTTTTAGTCTTTATAATAATATTGAAACCTTTTATAAACCAATAGATGTACGAATATTTGTTGTGACATTGTATTTTTTACTCTTTTTTTTTTTCCTTTAGGCTTTCTTGTAGTCCTCAAAATCCTAGGAATAGTTTGGGTGTTTTGACCAATTCTAGTAGATTTTATGCTAGCTAGCTTGAGATTAATAATTTTCTTGAGCATTTTGAAGATTCTTTCTTCTTCACTAGCTCTACTCTCTATTCTCACACCCATCTCACTGACTCATTAGGTAAGCCTACCAGTAAGGTCGGGTATCATCCATGAATAGATCTGGATCCAACAATAACCTTTAAGAATTTTTTCACAAACATGTAAGAACAACTGTTGATTTGTTGCAAAACCTTTTACAAAAGGTGTAGATATTTCTTGAAGAAAAGAGAAAACTCAATGGCTTTAGCAAGAGAAGTAATTCTATAGTTTTTCACTTTCAATATAAGAAAGAAATGGAGAATATTTTTAGATTTTTTTTTTAAATGTGCAGCGACCAAATCAGTAAGAAATGTTTGGCTAAGGAGTCGATATTTTTAAACAAATTAAAGAACATTAGTGGGCAGCCATGCTAAGGAGATATTATGGCTGATTTGAAATAATTCAAATTTGCTTTAGGAGAAGAGAGTTAGAGAATAATGATTTTTTTGAATTTAATCCCATGCAGCCTTAAATTAAACAAATAGATTAGAGAAATTAAATAAAAATTTAAATTATATAAGAGAAAGAGGAACATCTAAGTGAATTCATAAACGTACATTCAAAAATTATTGTAAATGAACTAAGAATGATAGATATCTACCTTTTAGTTTGAGAAGTACTAAATAATGAAGAGAAGGCAAATAAAAAAAAAACATCAATCTTACATATTTGCAAAGCAAAATGGGCAAATAAGGAAACAACAAATAAAAGTACTAACAGTTACAACCCATGGTATTTAACGACAGGTTCAACAACCTACCATAAACAAATATAATATGAAAGTTATAGGTTCAATAGGAAAATTTGTGGGGGGCCCAAGCGGAAACGTGCCCCCCTTCGAAATTTAGAAATAACTGCTCCATCTTAAATGCAATTTTCAAATTAGAGTTCTGCGCATCTATTCCTATTTCCCGCTCTTCGTAGCTCGCATGATTCATCTTCCCCGCTCGACATTAAGCCCTAATTTAAATGCATTACTTAATTATTAAATGCTCAAGTGGATGAATGGCTTTACCCTTAGAGATAGGATACGAAATGAGCATATACGTGAAAAGGTTGGAGTTGCTCCAATAGAAGATAAGATTAGAGAGAGTCGCCTTAGATGGTTTGGTCACATAAAACGGCGGCCTTCCAATGACCCGGTTAGGAGAGTAGAGGTATTATATTTGACTTATGTTAAGAAAGGTAGGGTTAGACCTAAAAAGACTTGGTTAGAAAATATTAAGAATGATCTTTCTTTATTGAATTTAAACGATAATTTGACTTTTAATAGGACAATGAAGAAAAAGGATTCATGTAGCCAACCCCACGTAGTGGGATAAAGGCTTGTTGTTGTTGTTGTACTTAATTATTAAAGCTTTTCACCCGGCTCGTTGCACATTACAAAGGATCTGCATTGCTGGATCCTATTGAATTATCTGTCTAGCAAGGCATTTTGCTAGCATCACTACTTTTGTATGTTTCAGAATAGATTGGCTGTGTACATTGGTTGAATTCATTTTACTAGTCATTACCTGGGTATTATCTTATGCCTCATGTATATATTAGCATGGTTGTGTATATTGCTTTATCTGTCACACTAGCCTATGTAAATAAACTTTTTGACATTCGCAGGTGCAGTTCATCAAGGTGCAGCAAATGTTTAAAATGCTGCACGCCATTGGATCTGAAACGAAATGGCGAGTCATATTTAAGCTGATTGAGGTTAAGTGGGCTGTCGCTAAAATGGCAGCTACTTGACTGAAACTGATCATTGCAACTCCAGGAACACTACGACTACCAATCCAAGCTTAGAAGACTAAATCAAACAAAAATAGCTCATTCATTAACTCGGAAACAATGTTGACAACTAAAACAAACGAATTATCAATTCCTGAAATTAAGCAAGATAAAAAATTCATAGCAAGAATTCAAGAAATCCATGTATATGTTACTAGTAAATTGTTAAATCGCATGCAAAACATACACAAGGAAACGAATGTTTTCAGAGGGAGCACATTATACACAGAACTATAATGAAAAACTAAGTTATCATCGTCCAAACCATCCCTTTGCAGGCTGATGCACTTCTCCATCATTCATGAGCTTATCCAGCACCACATTTAGATCAACGGACTGCCCATTCTCGGTCAGCTTCCTCACTGTTGCCCTAACCTGTTCCCTGGAGAAGCCCATAGTTGCAACCTTGTCAACAACATCATCAACTGCAACTCTGTTTCCGGTTGGACCTCCACCACTGGGGTTTGAGCCTACCGAAGCAGCTTGAGGAAGTAACTTTGCCGTAGGGAGACGCTGGTAACTTCCGCTTCCACCTGAAGTTGGTGGTGCGGAGGAGAAAGGAGATGGTTTCGAGTTGTAGTGGGACGGCGAATTTCCATAGATGTATGGCTCTGACAAGCCAGGCCCTCCATAGCTGGAAGAGATGGGCAAGTTCCCCGAACTAGGTCTGTTTGCTGGTGGTAGCTCATACAAGGGAGGGTTACTTCCATAGTATTGATGCAATGGAGGTCCAGTTGGGGACTGAGGAGAGGGTTGTCGGATGTTTGGAAGGTAGGACTGAGAGGGTGGCATATAGGTGTTTGGCTCTTCGGGTTGGATTGGTTGGGAGTACTGGGGTACTTGAGGTGGCGACTGGTAAAGTTGGGACTGAGGTAGCCCATGCTGGGGTTGTGGATGGGACGGAGGCATTTGGTATTGCTGCTGCTGATGGATAGGTTCATTAGGCTGTCCTGGTGGAGTGTATTGTGTTAACTGATGAGATGGTTTCGAGTACTGTTGTTCTGGGAGAGAAGGGATGGAGGGTATCTGGTGTTGTAAGGGTAATTGAGCGGCATAAGGAACAGGAAGTTGGCTTTGTTGAGGAAGTGGTGGTGGTGGGGGTGGTGGGGCATTAGGAGCTGGGAGTGGAGGTGGAGGTGGAGGTGGCTGAGGAGTAATTGCTGATAGTTGAGGGGCTTGTTGCATAGATTGTTGGGGTTGAGGTGGATGTGCTTGTTGGTGCTGATATTGTTGCTTCTGCTGCAATTCAGATGGTTCTAGTGAGCTTTCAGATTGCAGGTGATCTGCCTTTGTTGAAAGCTGAAGTTTTGCAAGCTCAAGATGAGCTTCTGCAATCTCCTGCTTGTCTCGCAGGACCTGCACACCGGTTTGTACCTGCATATTATTAGATAAAATATATATAATATTAGGTTAGCTTCTATAACTACTCTTATGCAGGAATGCTTAGATAAACACGTGATATTAACAGCATGAGCTCCATTATTAGCATGGTTTTTCAGAGGAAAGTGATTTCTTGCTATATGCAGACAGAGTAGCACAACCACTAAAAGAGCCCCAAGTCTTCACATAATGGCATGGCTCGCTTTAAAAAGATATTCTCATCGGCAACTTGTCACTAAACCTTGAATAGTAATTTGTAAAACTGCCAACACAAATGAGTTTTTGATGGAACAATGATTGCAACCCTCATTGTGTATTCCATCTAATCTGAATTTCAAAAAATTATTGAACTTTAGCATGATGGCATCGAGAACATTCATAAAGCCACAAATAGTTGGGACAACGCTGATGAAAAAAATTACGATTTTCCAGATGAAAACTTTGGAATGATAAATTAATTAAGTACTAAAAAATGCAATAGAGAAGCAAGTTTTATTATCAATATTTTCAAAGAGTATTATAGTATACAACAACAACAACAAATCAAGCTTTTATCTCACTACATGGCGTCAGTTATATGAATCATTTCTCTCTATTGTGATCCGTTAAGAGTCAAATTATCATTTAAATCTAATAAAAAATATCATATTGTTACTTTCTAATCAAATCTTTTTAAGTCTACTCCTACATTTCTTAATATTGGACAAATCTAAAATATCTACTCTCCTAACCGGGTCATCGGAAGGCGCGAGCAAACCATCTAAGGCGACTCTCTCTAATCATATTTGACAATATAGCAACTCCAACCTTTTCATGTATATACTCATTTCACATTTTGGCTCTAAGAGTAAATCCACTCATCAACCTGAGCATTCTCATCTCTGCAACACTTGGCTTAATCTTATGCTTCGCTTTTAATAGCCAGCATTCAGTGCCATAAAGTATTGCAGGTCTCACCACATCTTATAGAAGTTTCCCTTAAGTTTAAGGAGGTACAAATCTATCACACAATATGCCCAATGCATTCCTCCGCTTCAGTTATCCAACCTGAATTATACTAATAATACCAACATCTATTTCATCATCCCTTTGAACAATAAACCCGAGATATTTAAACCATGTATTCTTTTTAATGACTTGATCACCCAAAGTCACAATCCCTCCACTAGATCTATTACTCCTAAAATTACATTCCATTTAATCAGTTTTAGATCTACTCAAACAAAAACATTTAAACTCTAAGGTTGACCGCCATAACTCAAGTTTTCCTCCAACTCTCTCTCGTCTCATCCACAAAAAGAATATCATCAGCCAAAAGTATACACTAAAGTATATCCTCTTACAAATGCCCAATAAGAATATCCATGAAAAAAGCAAAAAGATATAGTCTTAAAGCTGATCTATGATGCAATCCAACTGAAATATGAAAATACTTGGTCAAACCGCCTTGTGTTTGAATACAAGTAATAGCTTTTATATACTTATTCTGAATGACTTAAATATAATCATTATTAACTCATTTATTTTCTAGAAATCTCTAGAGCACTTCTCTTAGAACTTTATCATATGATTATCTAAATTAATAAATATCATATGTTGATCATACTTATCTCTATATTTCTTCATCAAACCTCTCAATAAATGTATAGCTACCATAGCAGACCTATCCGAAATGAATCCAATTTGATTTTGAGAAACATTAGTATCACTCATGTATCCTACACTCTAAATCTCTCCCATAGTTTTAAAGTATGACACATTAACTTAATTCCTCTATAATTCACACACTCTTGTACATTACCATTTTTCTTAAAAATATGAATAAACACACTACTACTTTATTTATGTGGCATTTTTTAGTATTCAAAATAATATTAAAAAGTTTTTGTTGACCCCTACACATAAAATCATGTGAAAAGAGGCAAAAAATGATGATTTAGGCAATGCATGCATTGACAAAACGCATCATTTGAAGGGTCGAATGACTTCTAATTATAAAATGGACAGCGTCGTTGCGATCAGGACATTAAATTCTGCTAGGTCAAGATCCCTCGCAATTAAATCGAACGAGAACAGTCAAAGGGGACGACCGACACCCGAAATTAAAGTGCGAAGCTGATCAAACGACGTGCGATCGACAAACGAATAGCGTCATTGCGTCCGGAATGTCGCCGGCATTCAGAATATACATTTTATTTAATAAATTTGGATCGTCTGAGATGGTGGCGAATTTCTAAGCAATTCAAATATGATATGAAGGCGTGCGTTACGAAGGAAACGAGGCCTCGAAGATGCTCGGACGATGTCCGATCAACAAACGGACAGCGCCATTGAGTCCGGAACGTCGCCGACATTCAGAATATATATTTTATTTAATAAATTTGGATTGTCTGAAAAGGTGGCAAATTTCTAGACAATCAAATATGATATGAAGGCAAGCGTTACGAAGGAAACGAGGCCTCAAAGACACTCCGATGACGTCCGATCGACAAACGGATAGCGTCATTGCGTCCGGAACGCCGCCGACATTCAGAATATATATTTTATTTAATAAATTTGGATCGTTTGAGGTGGTATCGCAAATTTCAAAGGCGATTCATATATGTCGTGAAGGAACGCATTACGAAGAAAATAAGGCCTCGGCGATGCTCAAATAAGGTCCGATACAAAACGGACTGCGCCATTGCGAGCGAAACGACGGAAATACCCTAAGTGCACTATCAATTTATCCAATTTTGATATTCGATGAGATCGACACGTTAAGCGAAGTGAAAGGCACGCAAACCAAGAAAATTGCACGCTAATCAAGGCAATTTGACTTTGCTAATGCAGTCCTGTCATTTCAAAATTAAGGCGTTAAGGGTGTATCACTAGTACAATTATAAAATTTCAGCAAAATTCAGATGCCAAATGGAGGAATAGTCAAATTCAAGATTAATGGCATTAATGTTCAAACCTCGGTTTGTCGAAAATCCTGCTCTGAACTCCGTCAAAATCCCAAAAAACCTGCTGAACTTTGTGTTGTTTCCTATCAACCCATCGTCTCTTCGCCTCGGTCGTAGTTTTCTTGCATTAAAATGAGAAAACCAAATAATTACTTCGTTGGTTTTATCTCCCTCGTTAGAACTTCAGGATTTTCAATCTCACAAGCTTCTTCCCGATATTTTCTACGCAGAAAAGTCTTCACTCCACTTCTCCCTCTGTTCGTTAACTTCCAGCCGCATGCCAAGCTTCAGAGTGGCGGCAAGTTTGCCAAGCTCTGTTTCAGCTGAGGTGAACCGAGAGTGCTTGATAGAAGTAATCCTAGTTCAAAGATCAATCAAATGTCTGTACCATAGTTGCTGATCCTGTCCCTAGAGCAAGCAGTTCATTCAGATTCAAGTCTAGCAAACTCCCGGTCTCTGCTCCAATACCCCCAACCTGCTTTACTAGATCACGTCGTTGTCTTCATCTTCAGTCGAACCAGAACCAGTTCCGATCCCTCCACACTTCAAGAACGCCACAAAGCTTGATCAGAGGCCTCCTTTACTCGAGCTCCACACATCCGAACCTCAAGAAAGCTTCTCCCCCCTGCTTCCTCCCTCACGTGCAAACCAATCTCCTTAAAAAAAAAAAATTTCCTTCAGCTCCTCTTCTCAACTCCTGACAGCAATTTCTTTCCACTTGTCGATCTACTCTAAAACCCTTCTTCATGCAATCCACGAGCTACCTCAGCCGATAAAAAATCCACTCACTACTTTTTTTAATCCATCAGTAACTACCTGCATCCTTCTTGAGGAAGATCTAAACCATTTGGCTTCTTCCCCTTTGGCACCCACTATGCAGTCTTTCACTTCAACTTGCACCAAAAAAATGCTTCGACGACAAGTGGTGATATCACAAGCTATATTTTGCTCAAGATCGAGTTCTGTTGCTGAAGAAATTTATATATTAAGACAATTTAAAGGAAGAAAAGGGGGTTTGTAAGAAATTTGCTTATGGCCAAATG